GCTCTCTGACCCTCCCATAGACAGCAAGGTAACTACCACGTTCAAGGTCCAGAAAAGTACCAAGATGATCGACAAAGTAGTCCGTGTGACATCAGTGGTTCTACTGTAAAGTTACGAAGCTACGAGAATACTTTTTTTGCGCAAAGAAAACAACTACTTTATTCCGCATTTTCATCTCTAATGCGTCACTTTGGACGAGCGTTCACGACAGTACCATGGCGCGAGCTTGTGGCGGTGCAAAAAAGTATTCTCATAGCTTCGTAACTTTACAGTTGAACCACTGATGTCACACGGACTACTTTGTCGATCATCTTGGTACTTTTCTGGACCTTGAATGAAAAAGTAAACGTGGTAGTTACCTTGCTGTCTATGGGAGGGTCAGAGAGCCCTCATATTTCATCAAAAATATCTTAAATTGTGTTCCGAAGATGAATGAAGGTCTTACGGGTTTGGAACAACACGAGGGTGAGTAATTAATGACAGAATTTTCATTTTTGGGTGAACTAACCCTTTAACTTGAGGCCTGTTTTAATAAGTAGGAAGCTGAGCTTTGTTACAGGAGAACTTGACAACAATTGAGAGGATGTTTGTGCACAACTGTCTGAATCACAATGAAAATGCCCTCAGTTTGAAACGACATTGCACCTTTTTTCATTCTTTACTATATCACACAAACGAGCAGGGTTGTTGTCAGCTGTGGATAATAGGGCTGCCAACTAAGGTCCTTTTGTGTGTCTGGGGTGCTCATCCTTTCAAATTTTGTCCTGTAAATTTGAGTAATGGCAAACAAGTACCTTGTTTTGGAACGTGACGACAGGTTGGTGCAGTAAATTACTTTGCAGAAATGCTATTAAAGAAAACGATGAGCAATTCAAGTTAATGGGTTTAAAATAAAGTAGCTACGATGGGCCATTACGGTGCTTGGCATATTTGAGCACTAATCTTAACAGCTGTCGCCTGTTGTAATATTTCTTATTCCTTTTCTGGCACAGGAAAAAGAAAAGGAAAAGAATCGCGAGAAAGAGCGAGAGGCCAAAGAGAGAGAGAAGAAATCAGTGAATGGACACGTGTTCAGCACGTCAAGCTTGCTGCATCCAGCTTTGTGCCAGCAATGCAACAAAACCCTCAACACTAAAGATACTGTCAGCTGCACAAGTAAGAAGATGTTCGTCATTGTACCACTGGTATTAACCCCATTTGAGTTATTTACTTCCTTATACTGGATTTCACATGAAAAGACATCGAGTATTCACAGAAACTGTATTAGAATTGTTTATTACCTTTATTTGTACAGTGCTTTTTACAATACAGATTGTGTCAAAGCAATGGTAAATGTGACCCTGGACCACAAAACCAGTCATAATTGCGGCATAATTTTTTTCGAAGTTGAGATTTATACATCATCTGAAAGCTGAATAAATAAGCTTTCCACTGATCTATGGTTTGTAGGACAATATTCGGCCGAGATACAACTATTTGAAAATCTGGAATCTGAGGGTGCAAAAAAAATCGAAATATTGAGAAAATCGCCTTTAAAGTTGTACTAATCAAAAATTAAGTTTTGCTATATTTACAGTAGGAAATTTACTAAATATCTTCATGGAACATGATCTTTACTTAATGTCCTAATGAGTTTTGGCATAAAAGAAAAATCTATAATTTTGACCCATACAATGTATTGTTGGCTATTGCTACAAATATACCCCAGCGACTTAAGACTGGTTTTGTGCTCCAGGGTCACAAATAGGAAAAATAGCAGAATCATGTGTAGTATGTGCAGGACACATATATAATACAAATTATTTTTTGCTAATTAGTATGAAAGTAGAATAGAAAAACATTTTTCTAAGTGAAGAGGGTTTTAAAGATGTCTGAACTATTGTGTCATGTATTTCAAAAGACTCGTTGCTTAAAAATAGGAAGCAGTTCTGGTAACATCATTCACTTCCTCATGGAGCTGCTGAAGAGAAAATCTTATTCATTCAGGCAGAAGTCTTTGTTCTATTGTTTTAGTCATTTTCCCCCTCTTTGTTTGTTTCATATTTTAATTGCGTTTTCATATTTACGTGTATAAATGTCCTGTAAGTTCTCATTGAATTTATTTTAGCATCTGTCCATAGCCTTATAGACCAACAAATATGTCTATATAAAAATAATAAATAATATAATAATAAAAAAATTATAATAATTGAAAATAAGAAAATAATATAATATACAGTAAAGGCAATTATTTTAATATATTTTTATGACAAGTATAAATAATAAATAAGGAAAATATACTGTTTAGTTAATTCTGATAACATATAATTAGTTCTCTCATGGGGTTTGAAAGTGTTGTTCTGTTTATGAATACTGTATTTTCTCCAGGAAGCATCTGAAGACTTATGGTTAGATTCTTGCTCAAGACATAAGTGTGTTTCTAGAGCTTGCTGGCATGTTTGTGGGATTTAATTTGTGTGCTTGGTGGAGTTTCCTGACTGGAAGGAATTCCTAAGCCTAAGCCCAACTGTCTTTACCACTTTGACCATGAGCCAGAATAGCAAACACAAGGACTTCCAACTACAGCAAACCCTTGTGTTTGGTCATAGAGGTGAAATCTCTGCAAAGAGAAAAAGCTGTGTTTATACTTGGGTAGCAAACTAAAGTATAATACTGTAACGCTTACAGCATCTGCAATATAGCATCTTTATCAAAGTAGTGAATTGCAAATGAGTACTGTTCTATTTTCTATTGACGTTGTTTTCTATTGACGTGTTTTTATGCAGATTGCAATGTAAGAGTTCACAAGAGTTGTAGAGAAAACATCCCAGTTTGTCCCAAAAGCAGAATGAAGGTATGAATGAGTAGCAGAATGAGTTTTTTATTCTAAAATTTACCATATTCTTTCAGTTACACGTCAAGAAAGGTGTTTGCATTGTCTTCTGTTTAAAATCTCTTCCTTTTTTCTGTTTCATAAACAACAGTTTGCTGTACCAGAGTCCACCAATATGCCTACCGTCACTCTACGAACAAAATGTGGGTTTGTTGGTTTTGTTTCTCTTTGTATAGTCTTTTTTTTTTTATGTCAGCTGATCTTAATTTTGCATGTGAATTGTTATTTTTATTTTATTTTTTTGTGTAGCGTCCACAATGCGGGAACGGCCCTGGTCTGCTATCTTTTTTCCAGAGGAACATTCTGTGATTGTCCCGTCCAGACGACCCGCCAGTATTATGCCCTTCCACAGCAGCAACCTCTCGAAAAGCATGTCCATCAACAATATTCCAATGTTAGTGCCTAAACACTTATACCAACAAGTATTCTCCGGTTTTAACTGAGAATGTAGTTACTGAATATATTCGTTATCGTTAACTCAAACTACAACTATTAAAAATCATTCTATTTAAAATAAATCTAGTTAAGTATAGCTGAAATAAAATAAAAAAAGGAAAAAAAATTGTAATATGCATTTATGTTTTTAAGAAATGTTGTCTTGGCAACTAATTAAAAGTATTAAGTAAAATGACTCAAACTTAACTAAAACTAAACTCAACTAAAATTACTCAAAATATAAAAAAATATCAAACTAAAAATAAATGCTAATTCAAAATCTAAATAAATACTATAATAGTATATAATGATACTAAATTAACACTGCACAGAATATACTGTTTCCTGCCAACTATTTAGAAAAGATGCTTGTGTAACTGTACAGTATAATAAATGATCATTAACATGCTACATTACTTCGGTTTGGGGACCAATTCTGACTATTAACCAGTTGCTTAGTAGCATGCATATTATTAGCATATTGGCTGTTTATTAGTACAAATAAAGCACATATTCTGCATGACCATATTCTACATCCCTAATCCTACCCAATACCTAAACTCAACAACTACCTTACTAACAATAATAAGCAGTAACCAGGAGTTTGAGGCAAAAGTCATAGAGTTAATAGTTATTTAATAGTGAGAATTGGTCCCCAAACTGAAGTGTGACTGAACTGAAGTTTGGGTTGAAACTTCCTAACTTATTGGAGTTCAATCAATTAAGCCACTAAGTAGACATTATATTCCTAATAAAAAGATCTAAGCTTATTCCATTGTGGGATACGGTATGAAGCACACAAGCGTCCTTAATATTCTACACATTTGGACAAATATAATAAGTTATATAGGTGTTCAGTGCATATAGACAGTTTTCATGCAGTGCACAGCATGAGTGCTGCATTCTTGGCAGGAGTAGTGTGGTAGTATGCCATTCCCAACATACAAATGAACAGAATCTTCAGTGAATCTGTCTTTAGGGCACTTGACCTTACTGGCCTTCTGTCCTAACCACACCACCTCATCCTCTTCCTGTAGGTTTGACGATGTGCCTCTGAGAGGCATGCGGTATCTGTCTCAATCCACAGACTCTCTCCACAAACCCAACAAGGTTACAGCGTCCAATGAGTCTCTAGATGAAGGTAAGCAGCCATATTTTTTCTAGTATAATACCAGATGCAATTTCTTGCTTTCAAGCTGAGATCTTCTGTGCTGTGGCTTCATGGTTTATGCATGTGTGTGGTGCTCGTTTTGAATCTAGCCTGTGTTTTGTCCTTTTCTTTTCCACTCAGTTATTTCCTGTCATTCCTCACATTCACTATTAATGAAATGGCTTTTTAAAGTTGTGTAAATGTTTCTTTTATTATTATTATCCACACAGGTTTTTCTAGTAATGTATGAATAAAAATTTTGTTGTCGCTATAGGAACTAGGGATGCCACAATTCTCAATATAATATTGAACCGTTCGGTACGACATCCACGATTCAATACGTGCTTGTGAATTGCGTATTTTTTCGGTTTTGCGTTTAAATAATTTCTGTGCGTTTTATTTCTTTTTTGTTTTATTTTGGCCGATCTCTGACTTGCACAAACTGCATTGTGATCATTTCCCAAAATGTCAGTTGTTTGGAAATGTTACGAGGTCTGTAAACGACTGTTAACAGAGACCAGAGACACTGAAGACGAACGCAAAGAGGAGAAAATACTGTTCTCATGCTAAATGTGTGTAGCATTTTTGTTTGGATCGTGATTAAAATGCCTTGGTCGCCTCTAGTTTTATTTTATAATTTTTACAGATGGCCTGTAACAGAGCTACTCCTATTTTCAGTCTTTCTTGACTTTCTTAAATAAATAAATAAATAAAAAATCAATAAAAAAAAAAAGTCAATTGGAATTGGCCATGAAAAATTAAGAACAGTGCCTACTACCGTCTATTTATTGTATTTATATTATACAGTACACTAGGATTTTGTACAAGTTGAATTTTATTAAAGAAAGAAAGTAAAGAAAGAGCATTGCAATAAAAAATAATGTTTTTCTCCTTAACCTCTTACTGCTCCTGTCGCCTAAGCATAGAATAACAAAAAAACACTCAAAAATCCAAACAGAACCGGAAACCGTGGTTAAAAAAAACGAGATATTTATTGAACCATGGGCTAACTGTATTGTTGCATCCCTGATAGGAACTGTGATGGTTGACAGCCGGCTGATGGGAGAGTTTGAAGCAGATGTTAAGGAACTGGAGGCTGACTCCTGGAGCATTACTGTAGATAAGAAATATCTGAAGCAACTCAAGAAGGACGCCATTAAGAGACAAGACGTCATCTATGGTAGAATTGAATGCATTTCCATTTCTTTGTTTATAAGCATTTGCTGTTCTGGGAGTTTTTATTCACTAAATCTGACAAAAAAAATGAATGCAAAATGCTAACCAGGGTTATTATAGTTAGCTAAAACCGCAAAAAATTAACTGAAATAAAATATAAAAAAACTTACGCTTATTTTATTTCAGCTAGTTGCCAATTTAAGCAACATTTCTCATTTTCATTTAGTTTAACTTGATGATTGAAGATAAAAACAATAACCAATAAAAAACAAAATATAGAAAATATAAAAAGTTATTCAAAATAATAAACTGTAATAGGCAAGGCAAGTTTATTTGTATAGCACATTTCATACACAATGGTAATTCAGAGTGCTTTACATAAAAGAAAAGAAAAATATAATCACAACAATAAAACAAGGAATTTAAAAACTTTGAAAATGATTTAAAAAAATTTATTTAAGAGGTTTAAAATGAATTTAATAAAACGATTATACATAACATATAGTGCAATCAGTTCGGACATTGCACAGTGCTCATTCAATAAATGCACAGCTAAACAGATGAGTTTTGAGTCTGCATTTAAATGTGACTAATGTTTTAGCACATCTGATCTCTTCTGGAAGCTGATTCCAACTGCGGGTGGCATAACTAAAAGCAGACTCCCCTTGTTTTGTGTGAACCCTTGGTATTTCTAACTGACTTGATCCTAATGATCTGAGTGGTCTGTTAGGTTTATATTCAGTGAACATATCTGCTATGTATTTAGGTCCTAGGCCATTGAGTGATTTATAAACGAGTAAAAGTACTTTAAAATCAATCCTAAATATAACTGGAAGCCAGTGTAAGGACCTGAGGACTGGTGTGATATGCTCAGATTTTCTGGTTCTAGTCAGAATTCTGGCTGCAGCGTTCTGGATGAGCTGCAGCTGTCTAATGGTCTTGTTGGTAAGGCCGGTGAGGAGGCCATTACAATAGTCCACCCTGCTGGTGATAAAGGCATGAACAAGTTTCTCCAAGTCTTGACTGGAAACAAAACATCTAAATCTTTAAATGTTTTTGAGATGATAGTATGCTGATTTAGTTACTGCTTTGACATGATTACTGAAACTAAGGTCTGTCTCCAGAATCACACCAAGATTCCTGACTTGATTTTTAGTTGTTAGACCCCTAGAGTCAAGGTATACATTCACCTTGAGAACTTCGTCTTTGTTTCCAAATGCAATGATTTCAGTTTTTTCCTTGTTTAACTGAAGAAAGTTCTCGCACATCCAACTGTTAATTTCATCAATGCATTGGCAGAGGGAGTCAATGGGGCTGTAGTCATTTGGAGATAAGGCTAGGTAAATCTGGGTATCATCGGCATAGCTGTGATAGGCGATTTGGTTCTTTCTCATTATTTGACTTAGTACGAGCATATACAGGCTAAACAAGAGCGGTGCAAGAATTGAGCCATGTGGGACTCCGCAAATAATAGTATCTGATACAAAAATAACTGCTGCACTCCTTTTTTTTTTTGCATGTGAAAGTGTTCACCTCAGTGTTTAATCATCCAACTTATATTTTTTCAGACAAACTCTATTTTAAAGGTTGCATCTAAATGTAAAAGTTAAACAAAGTTAAATTGATTAGTTGAAAAGTCTGGCAAAATAATAAACTGTAGTGTAACTGTAACTTCAGTATGATAGCTTGTTGAACTTTGATCCACAAGCATAAATCATAATTCTTTTGGACTTAATGAAACTTTTCCATAAGTTTATTACCTACTAATACAGTGTAGTTGCTCTTAGTTCCTCTGATTAACAATAGGTAAAAAGTAACAAAAAACGAACTTCGGTTCATTTAAAGTAGATGTTTACAGTTGAAGATAATAGTTCAGAAGTAGTTGGCAACTTACACATGGGAATTTCTTTCTTTTCAAAGAGTCTATATCTCCATTCACTGGCCCAAAAGCAATAAGCATGCTAACTGCTGCTCTTCCAGATGTCTGTATCTAAACATCCTGTTCCTTTATCAATCCAGAGCTGATCCAGACGGAGATGCATCACCTGCGGACGTTACGGATCATGTCTGATGTGTACTGTAAGGGCGTGCTGACAGATCTGCAGCTGGAGGTCCAGATGGTGGAGAAGATGTTCCCCATGCTGGACGAGCTCCTGGAACTCCATTCGTTCTTCTTCAACGCTCTGCTGGAGAGGAAGAAAGAAGCCAAGCTGGAAGGAACAGACGGATTCATAATCAACAGGATATCTGTGTTTGAATTCAAGGACTTTCTTGTGTTGGGTTGCCACTTAAATGTAAAACTTGGATTCTGTAGCAAAACCAGTTTTGAAGCACCTCACTATACTATTTTAGATTATATACTGTTCTGTATGACACTGTTATGCTATCCTACATTGATATATATATATATATATATATATATAATATATAGTAAACAATATAGAACAATTAAATGTCTAAAATTTTATATTTAAGTTACTTGCTGCTTTAAAAGTAAAAATTGTCCAATATTTATATCCCGCAGTGATATGTTCATTGCACTTCAGTTTGCTTACTAATGGAGTTGAAACTCTGAAAACTCATACAATTTAGTTGAAACTGCAGACATTATTATGGCAAGTTTAATGTATGAAAACAAAAAATATTTATTTATTATTTTACAGCGTTTCTCAGTTCCTCAAAGCAAAAAATGTATTACATCCTAAAACTGTAATGTAAAAATAATAAGTAATTCATACATAATAAAAATATTTATTATAAAATACAAATATTTTTATTTTTTTTAACAGATTAAATATTTTATCTGCTTACCATCATGACCATTAACCAACATCAAAGAACTGGGAATGGGCAAATGTGTCGTTAAATTATTAAAATGTTATCTTAAAATCTGAGAGGATACTTCGAGTATTTTAGATCAAAGGGGTTTGGCTGAAAAAAAACTTTGGGAATCGCTGCTCTATTACATTACTCCATTGTGAGTAGTAATGTTGCATTGCATTGCATTAAATGATAACTTATTAGCATATAAAGGCGTCTTGGTGAGTATGATGTGCAGATGTCAACTTGACTTAGCAGATTCCTTGTTCATATCCTAGCTCCTGTATTGATTTATGCCACATGATGTGCTTCAGTTCTCAGACTCCAATGCAGAAAGCATGAAGAAAATCTATAGCAAATTTTGTAGTCGACACAGTGAAGCAGTGAACTTCTACAAGGAGCTGCATTCCAGAGACAGACGCTTCCAGGCATTCATCAGAGTAATTGCTGCACTTTATTATGTTGCTCATTCTTCTCATTAAATGCACAGAGATGCCTAACAGTCCTCAATGTGCTCTTGTTTCCAGAAAAAAATGAGCAGCAGTGTTGTCCGGCGTTTGGGCATCCCAGAGTGCATATTACTGGTGACTCAGAGGATAACGAAGTACCCGGTGCTTTTACAGCGAATCCTGCTGCACACCAAAGGTGAGATTTACTCTGATTGGTTTCAGTCATGAGCTGTCAGGGGTTCTAGCATCTTCTGATCTGGTATGAAGGTGACCACAAAAGCGATTTAGTCTTAAATCTTTTTTTTTTTAAATAAGAAATCAATCAGTCAATTCTTAGCAGTAGTGTTTGGGCTAAATTGCTAGTCTAGCAGAAAATGCATATTTTGTGGGAGCTCTAATTCACTTTGTGACCCATTCCACCCCTCATTGCCAATAGTTGTTCAATAAATAAACCAAAAAAAATAAAAAATTCACTACCATTCAAAAGTTTGGGGTAGGTTAGATTTTTTTTTTTTTTTTTTTTTTTAATGAAATTATTTTATTCAGCAATGATGCATTAAATTGATCAAAAGTGACCGTAAAGACATTTATAATCATACAAAAGATTTCAGAATCAAATAAATGCTATTCTTTTGAGCTATTTGTTAAACAAAGAAACTGTTTTCAACATTTATAATAATCGAAAATGTTTCTCGAGCACTAAATCAGCATATTAGAATGATTTATGAAGGATCATGTGACACTGAAGACTGGAGTGATGATGCTGAAAATTCAGCTTTGCTTCACAGGAATAAATTACATTTGAAAATAAATATATATAATCACATTTAAAAATAAATCATAAGAGCGGGTAAAACCACAAATTTTTTATTTTATTTTATTTGTATTATTTTATTTTTACTACCAAGTCATAAGAATACATTACAAATTTCCATCAAAGGTACATACAAAGCATTGCTCACGTCTACATAAATATTTTTTGCTTATTTATTTGTTCTTCTAAATATAAAACCGTAATATTTTAATATTAAAATAGAAAACAATTATTTCAAATATTTCAAATTGTAATAATCATTCACAATAGTGTACATTTTTAAAAAGAAAATGCAAATTACTTTTTTGCGGGTACTGTGTTTGATAGATTGGGTCATCACTGGCCACTTTCGAAGGTCCCGTCAGTGTTTAAATAGCGCTTCAATATTTCACTCTCAGTAAACATGGATGGGCCCTCTGCTACACACACGAGACGCAGCGTGTAAACATTCCACATTTACCGCAAATCACTTCCAACTGTTGCACAGCCAGTCTGAAAGGCTTTTTGGTCACGTTCCCAACAAAGAGATTTTAAAGTGAATTAGAGTGTCAAGTATAACAAATATCCTTTCAGGGGCAATTTGAGAAGGAGCTTATAGCTCTCAAGAGGATTTGATTCTGCCACTCTAATACTATAATGAAACAAAATGGACTGGTTTATTGTTTATAGGAATTTATTACAACTGAATTTCGTATAAACCTGTGTGTGTGCTTGTGCAGAGAACGAGAAGGATTTTGAGGACTTGACAAAGGCGCTACAGCTGGTGAAAGATATCATTGCTTCAGTGGACAGTAAAGTGAATGAGCATGAGAAGAAGAAAAGGTTGAAAGACATTTACGGCCGTACGGACAGCAAGTCCATCATGCGCATGAACACACACACACACACACACTACTAAATACATTTTGATAACTTATTTTAATGTTTATTTTTTATTTTACTAGCATTAAAGCCACATTAAATAGTAACTCAGGAGTTTGAGTCTGATTTGTAAGCCTTTTGACCATTAACATTAACCGCTTCAGAAGAGTCATTTGCTTATGAATCACTTTGTACTGTTTGTTGCATGCGGTCAGCAAGGACAATGCAATATCATTTGTTTTATCAATTTTTTATCTTTATATATATTATATACGTATATAATATATATATATATATATATATATATATATATAATCTTATAATCTCTCTCTCTATTATATATATAATCTTATAATCTTTCTTTCTATATATTGGTTATAAAAATGCTGATGCTTAAGACCCTAATTATTATAAATGTGCAAATAACAAGACCTCCTGTGTGTCTTAGACATGCTCCAGAGGAAGGATGAACAGATCGTTTCACTCCTGCTGGAGAAGATGAAGCTTTTCCGTGAAATGTGCGGTTCGTCCGACGACACGGCTTCAGCGGTCAAAATGCTCTTCAGGGCCAACAACAAGGACGTCCCCAAGGGAGAACCCATCATGATGGACGCTCTCAGAGAGGGTAAGAAATGCCACCAGCGTCTTCAGCTGCTCCCAACCTGTTGTCTGAAAGCTGATGTGTTATTTATGAGTTATTTGTGTCTGTTGGCAGCTGTGGCAACATCTCATTTCCAGTTCTAATGTTCTTCCAGGACTAGTAACTCACTTAATGTAATGCGGTTAGTGATGTGCGTGTGTGTGTGTTTATGTGGCAGTGGAGATGTTGCAGGCGCTGGTGAACAGCAGTCTGGGAGGGGCGGTGGGACAGCAGGTGGCCTGCGCTCCGGGGAACATGGGACCTGTGTGTCTGCCACGCAGAGCCGAGACCTTCGGAGGGTTTGACAGCCACCAGATGAACATGTGCAAACGTGAGACATTTAAAGGAATACCATTGCGCTGCGTAATATCATTGCCCCTGCTGCACCCATGGTACGGCAGCAAAGTTCCTTGATTATTACGCCAGAATGAGAGTATAGTTCCTAGCCATATCGGCCTAGGAAATCGCAACTTTTCATTTTCCGTCGGTCTTAGTACACAATGTAACTACAGAAGAGTCAAGTTTTAAATAGGAAAAATATCGAAACTCTTTGGTCATTTTTGAGTGAGATGCTAACTGTCTAATCAGATTCAGTGATCTATGCTAAGCTACAGCTAAAAGTGTTAACGCCAGACCCGGAGATCGGCTGAATGGATTCGAAAACGGTAAAACTCAAATGTTTAACTCTAGGGGAGTTGGAAAATGAGCCTATTTTCAAAAATAGTGGAGTGTTCCTTTAATCTACTCATCATAATAACTTTAATTCTTCAGATCAGGCAGTGTAGCTGATGGTTGCAAACCAATTTTATATAATACAAGTTACAAAATGACTACAAATTTTTTTTTCTATTTTTCATTCAAATAACTTCATAAATCTGTATATGAAGCGCAGTTACTGATTCGATCCTGCTCACAGTCATTGTGTTTGTGTGTCTGTAGATGGCGACAAAGAGGAAGCTGAAGATCTTCGGAGGACAGAATCTGACAGTGTACTGAAGAAGGTAGGAAGCTTGTGCTCCTTCTAAGTCAGTGGTTCTCATACTTTTTACAGTGGCGTACCCCTGGGGCATTTATCGTTCTTCTGCGTACCCTCTATCTTCCACTTATGGCACTTTTCCACTGCTTGGTACGACTCGGCTCGACACGGTTTGCGTTTCCACTGCAGTTCAGTACCGCTTTAGAGTGGGCGGGATTATTCACATGTCGTTATAGTTGCGCCGCCTCTACTACCACGACTCCTAAAAAACTTTTTCATTCGCGTCGCCCCATCAAGCTCTCGCTGGATCCGCTCCTCTGCTATCAACGAGAGGAACGTCTGTTCTTCCGCAACAGACAACAACACTTTTTGGTTGTTAAAAAAAGGTGCGCTCGTTCAAAACAGTTGTGTTCGATCCTTCGATGGTTGTGCTGATTTAAATCTAGCGGTTCTTTTGTGTTTGTGCCGCAAGTAACGGTATGGTTCACTTGGAAACCCAACCGAGGTGGTACTAAAAAAAGTAGCAATGAATGATGGCAAATTGAAGTGATACTTGACGCCAGGCATCGCGTCATTCGTTCAGTAATGAAGCAAAATGCTGTAGTTATGAATGGGTTATTAATCACTGACTCTCCAAATCATTCAAAGCATCAGATTCATTCGAAACACCTCCTGTATGTTGCCTGGTGACACACACCAGATGATATTTCGTTGGAACTATTATTTCGTTGCAAAATAGAACAAACATGACATTATTCTGTTTAAAATGTAGACTACATTTAAAATGTAAAATGTTCACTTAATATTACCTTTTTTGTTGAACCGTTGTAAAAATTAATGCCACATTTGCCATCATTTGGATATTCAGGGAAATTTGCATTCTTGCTCGTATCTTAAACATGAAAACAGTAACACGCACAGAGTGTGTCTGTATCGAAGAGAGTTTAAATCAATCTCAGTCCGTGTCAATATTTGCTCTTCATGCTGTTAAGTGAAGATCTACTTTAAAGATACATTGAACAGCAGCGTGATTTGCTAAATTAGCATATTCAGCGGGCATCCTATCACATGCACGCTGCTTGTGTGGATGCAGTCAGTTTTGACCGCAAAAGATGAGGTAAGCTGATTGGATATCGTGTAGCCTATTTGACAGTTTACGGCACTCCCATTTTCCTGTTTTTACAATAGAAGTGGCATTTTGCTTGTCAGAAATACATGTTCGGTTTTAATGTTACTTTAAACATTATAGCATTTCCACACCGGCAATGACATGACTGCGGTACCAAATCATTTATGTGCCCACACATCATGTACGTCGTCACGCTGTGACGTCATCAAATTGAGATCAGTTCCTGAGATCGGCCAATAGTGATGCGCGGATGACGGTTTTATCCGCGGGCGCTGCGGATAATCCGCGGATCGGGTAATAAAAAAATGCATTCTGATTATTTGCGGGTGGATAAAATAAATAATTAATGATGCAAGTATTAACTACATTTTCTAAATTATGAACGTGTTTTAAATAGGCTACAGAAATTGAATAAACTGTAAATTAACATTAAAAGTTCTTCAACAAAACATTATTTAGTCAAGAGCAGTAAGGAATTTTCTTTGTCTTTTGTTGTTTGATTAACATTAATAAAAGACGACGCTATATTGAATAAAGGTTTTGCAGTAATTTCCCTCATTTTAAAGTCGAAAGCTGTGGGAATGAGTAATGCGATGTATGCGCAATCCCGCAACGAAATTCAGGATCTGATTAAACATAATTCTATTATACAGAGAATTGTGAAATAGATTTTCATGACTTTTCAAAAACTTTTTGAGTTTATTTATTTTTACAAAACTTTCTAGGCCTGGAAATTGCTGTTCAATGACTTTTCCAGGTTTTTCATGACCGTACGAACCCTAATGTGATGATTGGGTGCGGGTCGGGTGCGGTTATCTAAATCAAACAAAAATACAGGTGCGGGCGGTTGGCGGGTGGATAATTTATTTGAAGCTGCGGATTCGGGTGACGTTTTAGCTCATCCGCGCATCACTACTACACATGAACGCTCTTTTCAAACAGAAGCTTGTAACGCACATGATGTCAGTCACAGCATATAATGACTACTAAAAAGTTGAGTTTGTTGCTATAGCAACAGTAGATCAAACAATCATTGTAAAAAAAATAACAACGAGAAAACAACTCTCGTTATGTCGCGATAACGAGAAAATTAAGTCGTTATAACGAGAAAACAACTCTCGTTATGTCGCGATCACGAGAAAATTAAGTCGTTATAATCGAGATCACGTGAATATTAAGTCGTTATAATGAGAAAACAAGAAGGAAATAAAATTATATTGCATGGCCGCTTAGAACTTCCGTAGGGTACAGTACCTGGTACCTGGTACTTTTTTTAGTACAAGGTTCCAAGCGAACTGTACCGTTACCAAAACGTGACTCGTAAACTCTGCTGATCACTGATTGCGTTACTGAATACCTGCGTCACTGAACTTGCGACACAAACACAACAGAACCGCTAGATTTAAAATCAGCACAGCCAGCGAAGGATCGAACGCAACTGTTTTGAACGAGCGCACCTTTTTTAACAATCCAAAAGTGGCTGTTTCATTGTCTGTTGAGGAAGAACAGACGTTCCTCTCGTTGATAGCAGAGGAGCGGATCCAGCGAGAGCTTGATGGGGCGACGCGGAATGAAAACGTTTTTCAGGAGTCGCGGCAGTATACGCGGCGCAAGTTTAACAACATGTGAATAATCCCGCCCACTCTAAAGCGGTACTGAACTGCAGTGGAAATGCAAACCGAGCCAAGCCAAACCGAACCGTGCCGTACCATACTGAGCCGTGCAGTGGAAAAGCGCCATAATATAAGAAATTAGCTTTGGTCCAACATTATATTACCCAGTCAGTATCTGAACTCATGTTCATAATTCTGAATGTATAAATATAAATCCTGAATTTTTAGTTAAAAATCTCAGTTGTTTCAATAGAATTCAAATATACAGATGTCAATTGAGATGTCTTGATTATATCATTGTAAATCTGAATATTTAAAAATGTAAACTAGAATGTATAACTTCTAATATTATATATATATATATATTATAGAGTTTATTTAGGAAAAGTCAAAAGTTAATAGTTAGCTAATAGCGAGAATTGTACCTTAAAATAAAGTGTGACCAAAATATTTCCTCAGTGCCAGATCGTCATATTAGAATATGGATGATCCACAGTTGTGTTTTTTTTTTTTTGTGATAGTTGTTCATGAGTCCTTTGTTTGTCCTGAACAGTTAAACTGCCCGCTGTTCCTCAGAAAAATCCTTCAGGTCCCACAAATTCTTTGGTTTTCCAGCATCTTTTGCATATTTGAACCCTTTCCAACAATCACTGTATGATTTTGAGATCCATCTGAGGATAACTGAGGGACTTTTATGCAACTTACAAAAAGTTCAAATGTTCACTGATGCTCCAGAAGTAAACATGACATATATATATATATATATATATATATATACTGTACATACATAATATAATTAGCAGTATATAATTAGGAATATATTTGAATATAATAATTTAAATTAGACTGTTTTCTTGTTTCTTGCCCCTCATACTATCTGTGTATATACTATGTCTTGTTCTATATGGTTACTTTATGGATTTTGTTACAGGCCGTAGTGCTGCAGCAGGACACTTTTATCGAGGACCAGCGTCAGGCCCTAAACGAGCGCACCCCGTCCCGCTCCTCCTCTCGTCCCCCCTCGCTGGTGGAGCAGGAGAAACAGCGCAGCTTGGAGCGGCACCGACAGGAGGCCGCCACTCTACAGCGCCAGCAGGCCGTCCACGCCGAAGAGAAGCGGCGCAAGGAAAGGGAGTGGGATGTGAAGGAGCAGGAGCTGACAAACCGGGAGGTGCTGCTACACGTGAGGGAGGAGACGACGCAGAGGAGGAACAAAGAGCTGGAGGAGGTGCAGCAGGAGCTGCAGGGAAGGAAGGAGGATTATCAGAGGGATCTAGAGAGACTGAGGGATGCTCAGAGGAGGCTGGAGAGGGAGAGGGAGCAGCTGCAGAGGGAGGTGGAGAGAGTGGAGCACCTCCGTGGGGTGGAGGTGAGACTTGAACTGCACATTCAAGCAGGTTTTGTGCCTCCATATCATCTGTATATTACTTCACTCAGAATAGGGATATGAAGGCCGTCATCTTTCTTTACACAGTATTTTATTGAAAATTATTTTTATTTTGGTGTTGGGTTTGGAAATGGTTTGAGAGACAGTCATTTGAGAAATTCTTAAAATTTGACTGAATAAAATGGGAAGAATTAAGAAATGTCTCATTTTAAACGTTTGACTATTGGCACAGTGTCTTGTTCACATTTTATTGTGAGATAAAAACCTGCATGCTAGAAAATGCTACAAATTAGGGATGCAGAATGCATTGGCGGCATATCAGTTATCTGACAATATTAGAGATTTTTTTAAATTACATTTTTAAATATATTAAAACAGAAAACTGTTATTTTAAATAATAATAAATGTTTTATAATAAATTATATTTCACAATATTACAGTAAAAACTGTAATATTGTGAAATATTATTTAATTTATTATTAAAAATGTATTATTATTTAAAATAACAGTTTTCTGTTTTAATATATTTAAAAATGTAATTTATTCCTCTGATGACAACTTTGAATTGTCAGCATCATTACTCCAGTCTTTTTGTTAGATAGAAAAATGACAGCATTAATTTGAAATATACTTTTTTTTGTAATAATGTGAGTCTTTACTGTCACTTTAGATCAATTTATTGCCTCCTTGCTGATTAAAAGAATTGTTTTCCAAAAAAAAAATAATAATTCTTACTGACCCCAAATGTATATAATATCATTTTACATTTATTTAGTCAAAATAGTATAGAATTTTAAAACGAATAATAGTAATTATTGGCTTATCAATATCTGCCAGAATTTTAATGTTCTGTATATTCATTCTTCAAATAGTTTTGAATATAATTATTAATATATAATATAATTCATGACAAGTTTCAAACTTACAGAACATGAATTTGTTTTGCACTTTAACATGATTTTTTTTATTGTTTTGTTCTCATTTCTTCCACAGGCTCGGCTTCAGCGCACGCCCTCCAGCACATCAGAGGACTCCATAAAGCTCCAGAGCAGCAGCTCCATAGAGCGAGAGATCTGGGAGGGCGACTTATCGTCCAGCCCCAGGAAGAACTCTCTGTCCAGGATAGACTCCAAACAGAAGGGCCGCAGCTTCTTCTCCCTGGGCGGCAAAACTCCGAGCTTAGAAGGCCAAAACCAGATCCCCACACGACTGCTTCAGCTGGCTTCATCCAAGGAGAAGAAGGACAAAAAGAAGAAGAAGAGCAAGAGCCAGCCTCCTCAGGATGCAGGTAAACGCAGTGAACTCACACACACACACTAATTCAATACAGAGATAATGATAAAGAATTGATTAAATTAGCCTGCAAACCACAACCGCTGTATCCGTTCTGACTGGAATTGGTCATTTGCACATACTGTATAGACGCTGGCTTATCTGAGTTGTGTGTTATGTATTAATCTCAGATGTTCATTACGCTGAGAAAAAGATGTCTATTGTCTATGTTTATTGTGGTTCAGTGTAGATGAATCTTCAGTTAAAATGTTGCTGTGTTTTGTCTTCAGCATCACATCTGCTGCCCCTGACAGAGCCTTCAATGGACGGAGACATCTTCTTCTGCTGATTTACCCATCATCCCTTCTGTCCACATCATTGCCTCTCATGGACTCTCTATCAAATCATGTAGGAAGTCACCCAAAGTGCCCTCTACACGTTTCAGCAATCTTTCTACAATATAATAAATCTCACAAAACATGTCCAGGTCGCATTACACCACAAAATCAAAAGAAAATTAAGAAATCATATTTTGCCTAACCCAAATCAGTCCTATTTTAGGATTGTTTTTATTTTTTGTGACATTATTTTAATAACAATTTAGCCCCCAAATTCTCATTACCGTAATGTATAGATAGTGGTAATATATGATTTCAATTGTAAAGTATTTATATACTACGGTAAATGTTTTTGTACTGCTTTTAAATATTGTTTTACTACAGTAGTTTGTGCTGTAATAAAGTTTGCTCTATCACAGTAATGAAAATCACCATTTAGAATAATAATAATTATTAATTATTATTCCAAAAAAGCTCATGATGCAGAAATGGTAAAGGAAATCTCTTTATTATATATATATATATATATAACTCATCCAGACAGCATATATGTGCTACACATTAAAGTCTTAAGGTGCGTCCCAAATCGCGTACTTATGCACTATTCTGTGACGTTTTGTAGTATAAATAGTGTGAGTAGTGTGTTCACACCTAATATTCCAAAAAGTAAAAAGTGCACTTTAAATACCCGGATGATGCACTTGAAGAATCGAAAAAACGAAGTGTGGAATGTTGAACACTTCATGCACTCAACTGTCGCAGCTTTAATTACGTAGTGAAGGGAGAGGGGCTATCAGACTCCGTTTATGAATGACAAAATAACCTTATATAATTCATACACTACATAGTGCATAAGTACATAGTGTATAAGTGCATAGTGTATAGCGCGTCATTTGGGACGCAGCTTTAGATTTGCACTTGCTTTCACATGTTTATCAGACAAATCCCATCTTTGAATACGTTGTTAAAATGTGCATTGTATATAAATTTCAATTACTGCACTCATTTACAAATGAATTGTGTCACCAAAACATTTTAAAAAGCAAAAATGGGGTTTGCTGCTCCCCATATTGGCCAACTTTTTTTAGGCTGAAAAATCATTTCGGCTCATTGCGCACAAGAATGACCATTTAAAATTTGATCACAGTTTTAACATTTAAAGGGATTCGGGGAGAGAGGTGGTTTTCCATATTCCCCGTGTTTATTATTTTAGCTTCTCGAAGGAGTCCCGTCTTTGAAATGCCACCGAGCACTTTAACACCATTCACACGTTACCCTTGACCCGAAAATGACAATCAATTTTTCAATAGCATTCCAAAGATAAAGCCCTGAGGACAGGGCTTTTGGGGGCCATTGTTTAACATACCATGGCATTTCATGCTAGTTTGAGATTCTCTAATCCTTCTGCTTTGAATACTTCATGACTTCAGCAGGACGGATGAGCTGTAAATACTTTATGAACTGTAGACCCCTGAGGGATATTTAAAGCAACCTGCTGGACAGGTAAAAGAGATAAACATCCACGAAAGATAGTGTACCTCACCTATACATCCACCCTTATGGATCAAAGCACCATATCATATCTGAATATCAGTAATAATACATTTAACACCCTGTTTTGGCACTCAGAGTGTCCACTTATTTCATCATGCATGAATATCCACATTACAGTCCTGCAGGATTTTGTTCTGTTGGCCTGATATTGTTAGGAGTTATTTATTGGTCCATGAGAATTTTTATTACATTTTTTTTAAGCAGTACGTGCTCTCAAAGTCCCATTTGTGCAGGTTTGTGTTGCAGTTTTCACCTGCGCTGACTTGATTCCACCATGAGGGGGCAGAAGAGAAGCGTTTTATAATTGAAGGCTCCTCTGTGGATTTACATAACCTCTCAGTGATGTCAGAGGAGACACAGTGACACATGCACAAAGGGAATCATTGGTTCATCATTTAAGGAGAACTGTGCCTATGGCCTTACAGAACTGTCAGCGACACTTTTGGCCTCAGGAACAAACCGGGAAAACTCAATCCAGGCGGTATAGTGTTGCCGTGTCTCATGCGTAAACGAAAACTGAAGTTGCTCAGCCTTAAAGAAATCATGGTGTGTGCTAAAATATAATCCAGCATTCTCTCAGGAGTATAGGTTTGTTTATTCATCTGTGTTTTGAAAGTAAGGTATCATTTGTACATTGAGGTACATATGTTCTCTTGCTTAAAAAAAAAAGGAAGAACTAATGTTATGTAAATATTTTGTGTTTAAAATGTTGTTTAATTTGTGATTTATTTTGTAAGATGTGTTTTGTGAGATGTAAGGCTTTATTTATCATTGGTCCCCTTGTCTTGAAGCAGAAGACAATATTTCCTCACATTAAAAGCTGTTGCAATTTCTTTTGGCTTGTATTGTGTGTGTGTGTGTGTGTGTGTGTGTACAGGTTTATATATCCTGGTGGGGACTTAAACCTGACTACACACAGACTCATGGGGACTCGTGTCACGGTGGGGACCTAAATCGTGGTCCCCACTTGTACAAAAGCTTATAAATAATACAGAATGAAGTTTTTTGAAAGTCTAAAAATGCAGAACGTTTCCTGTGAGGGGTAGGTTTAGGGGTAGGGTTGGTGTAGGCCAACAGAAAATACAGTTTGTACAGTATAAAAACCATTATGCCTATGGAGAGTCCCCACAAGGATAGCCGACAAGACTGTGTGTGTGTGTGTGTGTACAGGTTTATATATCCTGGTGGGGACTTAAACCTGACTACACACAGACTCATGGGGACTCGTGTCACAGTGGGGACCTAAATTGAGGTCCCCATGGGTACAAAAGCTTATAAATCATACAGAATTTAGTTTTTTTGAGAAAGTAAAAATGCAGAGTTTCCTGTGAGGGGTAGTTTTAGGGGTAGGGTTGGTGTAGGCCAACAGAAAATACAGTTTGTACAGTATAAAAACCATTATGCCTATGGAGAGTCCCCAAAAGGATAGCTGACCAGACGTGTGTGTGTGTGTGTGTGTGTGTGTGTGTGTCTCTCCCCCTGTTTTTAATCTGTCTATTGAACTGCAGGTTATTGTGTTTCATTAAAATTCACTGGACAAACAGATCAAGGTTACCTTTTCCTTTTAAAAAGATTAAAGCATTTATTTAAGAAATTGCCACTGCATGAAGAATCACATATAAGCAGAACCTTTGATCTTCACGCAGTCTGCACTGACTCCACTACTAACCTCTCATTGATGGACCGAGATTAGAAGTGGGTCATTTCTACTCTTCATGTCCCTCATCATCATCACATGTCTTAATATACTGGAAAACATATTAAACTCCATTTCAAAGAATTCGTATCAGTTTCGCAATTAAGAGGATTTTTGCCAGCTTTTGACCAATTTATTGAGACAAATCAAGGTGTTTCTTAATGTTTACTAAGATAACATGGGGAAATATAATACAAAGACTAAAACGGACACAAGGAAAACACTGGGATTTGTTTCAAATATAGTCATATTTAAGCAATATTAAGGTTTTTGTCTGATTTACTCCAGAGGTTTAATGTCATTATAATGAAAAAGCTGTCTTTGCGGCTAAAATGATTTGTAACATTGGCAGAATAAAAAATATGAGATCCAAGTTCAGGCCAAAATTGTTTGAATACACGGACTGCACACCTCAACAGTTCCATAATCAGCATCATCCAGGAAGTGACATCCTTTTGGAGGGAAAACCACAGTACAAACAAACATCAGTGAGTATTAGCAGCTGAGTTCTGTGGTGAGAGCTGGTTTGTTTCGGTCTAAACAATTGGATACTGTTTGTTTGATAAGTCATAATTATATCAGTATTTCAGAAGATATTAAAATCAAGCATCCGCATGTTGGTTAACTTTTAGCAGAGGTTAATTTTAGCTAGTAATGAAAGCTTTTCTGAATAACTTGAACCAATTGCTTTGTAAAATGATTCACCTTTTCGTGAAGCACTTGAAACACCACAGGCTGGCTGCACCTGCTGTTGGACAAAACTATGTAAATGTAACAAAAAGCATGTATTATGACACCTTTTACAAACGTAACAAAATAGGAAGACTCGTTTACTGAAATCAATCACGTGATACAAGTTTGACACACTACTCCAAACATAAGATTCGTATGTTTGGAGCTTACAGCTTTGTTTTCTTAATACAATCATAAGACCCATTACTTAATTCTTGGTCTTTTTCCATTGCGTTGGCACAAAATACATGAATGACATTTAGAATAACATGAATTCACTCAGACACAACAATCACCAAAATCCAATGTACCTACAGGCCAATTTGGACATGTTTACGTACTCTTTTTTTCAAACAAAACTCAATAAGACAGCAATCTGCTACAGGGAAGTTGAATTTATGAATGAGCTGCTCGTTTTAAAATCTAGCCGATCTACTGACATTTGTTATGACATTCTTCTTGGAACCTTACAATGCACATGATAACTTTCATTTACAATAAGTAAATCCACTTCACCAGCTAATTCAACAGTGATGCTATCCCTGATGTCAAATAGACGTTTAGAAAATGTCTTTAAGGTGTTTATGATTTAGAAAGTGTATGTAAAACTCTCAAATTGACCAAGTTTGTTGGGTGACAACCTTTGCTAGTGGTATGGAACACTCTTAAAAATAAAGGTGCTTCAAAAGGTTCTTCAAGCGATGCCATAGAAGAACCATTTCTGGTTCCACAAAGAACCATTCAGCCAAAGGTTCTTTAAAGAACCATCTCTTTCTTACCTTTTTATAATCTGAAGAACCTTCTTTCGCCACAAAGAACCTTTTGTGAAACAGAAAGGTTCTTCAGATGTTGAAGGTTCTTTATGGAACCATTTAGACAAAAAGGTTCTTCTATGGCATCGTGAAGCACCTTTATTTTTAAGAGTGAAGAATGACCTGGTTTGAGACCTGTGTGAAGTATTTTGGTAGTTTTAGTGCATTTTGGATGTGAAATGTACTGCTGTGCCAAGCTGAACCTTGGAGACTGCTTGAAGAGTTTTGAAATAATGACTATAGTATTGAGAAATGTGTTCTTGCATAATGAAGCAATGTTTCGAAAGCGCCCATCA